AATTTTGTTTTCACTTTTATAAAAATATATTTAGTACAAATTATATATCAAGCAAAACCATAACTATTCTATTATTCAATAATAAAATCATTTAAAAATATTACAGGCTGTAAACATAGTCATAAAAGTAAGGGAGTCATTTTTCCCCATTTTAAATTATAAATTGTTGTTAAAAAATATAGCATACTATTATTTACCGATGGCAAGATTAAAATATGTGATTTTGGACTTGCTTGCGATGTTCGCACCTCTATGTCTATTAACAAGGTACGTTATTTATTTTTGAAAATAGAATTTATTTAATTATACATAATCTATTTACAAAATATTGTTATAATTAACATTTTAAAAAGGTTGCTTAATAATTAAACAGTCACCATAAAGGTAATAATTTAATAATACTAGTATACTGTATGCCTGAGATACACACCATTGCACATCACTCCGGGTCACAATATGAGTGAAAAAACTAAACATTTTAAAATTAATCTCAATAATGACGAATGTTATAATATTCACAGTTTTTTCATTGTTATTGTGGCCCGGATTACAGTGTATGCTATTAGTCTCAAATATTTTGACAGCATCCATTTATTTTTGTTAATAACTAATAATTTGTATTATAATCATATTGAGTGTTCTTATAATTATATACTAGGGCACTGCCCGTTGGATGGCACCGGAAGTAATTAGTGGTAGTAAATATACGGAAAAGTGTGACGTCTATAGTTGGTCTATGATTTTGTGGGAAGTACTAAGTAGGCAAAAACCTTTCAATTGGCTAGATATTTGAGGCCATATTATGGGCCGTAATTAATGGCAAGCGGCCCCCACTTTTGCCTGACTGTCCAAAAAAAGTCGAAGAACTTATGGTAAAATGTTGGTCTCAGGACCCGGCTGTTAGGCCATCCATGGCAGAGGTGGTGATACAAATTGGGATTATATCTTATAGTATCTCCCATTCAAATGGTAATCAATTTGCTTTTACTTATTCAATGAGCCTATTAGTATAGTTTAAAACACTAATCTATTTTGTCAATAATATATTGTAATGAGGTGATCGAGGTGGATGCCAGTAGGGCTCTAAACCTGTTGCTCACCGGGTGATTAAGAAGTACCCCTTAGTTGTTTTGCATTGAAAAAATTGGTGTCATTATCATATTTAATTTTCTAATTAATAGATAAGCAGTAATTCAATTGGCTATATAATTAATAATATTTAAACATAAATTATTCGCTTAATTTTAGATCATATGTTATTATTAAATTTAAAATTAGATACAAGTGAATATCACAAAATTATTATTTAATTGATAATCAATCACTCATCGTCATTATAAAGATATTCACTTATAAAAATTGTAAAATATCCAAGTTCATTATGATTATAATTAAAGTGTTATTATTAATACAGATGACGAATACATTGAATTGTTAACTATTGACAAAAACCAAGTGTTTAATTACAACATGGATTTATTGCGATTCAATAATAAACTGTTGGATATAGAAAATATAGAATTTGGTGATGAAATTGGCCATGGTCAATTTGGACAAGTTTTCAAATCAATACTGTATATGTCGGATATGGATACCAGGATCGAAGTTGCTGTTAAAAGTAATTATTGTTTTCATTTCTACCGTATTATCCCATAAATAACGGAATGTCGATAAAATGTGAATTAATGAGACTGTGGGTATATCTCGGGGTTTATTATTGTGAAATTAGTGTTAAAATAAACTTAATTTTACCAAATACAACACAATTATATATTATGACATACTGTTTCGTAATACAGTGTGTTTCACCATGGACCTCCGGTTTTTAATTGCTATATCTCAAAAATTAAATTAGATAACAAGGTACTCTCAACGGTTTCTAAAACTAGAAACTATAGGAAATTTTATGAAATACTGATCACCCATGTGCGACTTATATTAATGTTATTTCTATGGACACTCTTGCAGACATGAGCGAGTAGCTATTTAAGGAATTTTTATTAACATTAAATAAAAATATTTTAGAATCATTCTGTTTGTAATTATAGCCCTAAGGGAAGGGTCACGAACTGACACGGCATCAATATATCGTCTCTTTTCTGAGGGACTTTTGATGATAGACTTTCGACATAAACACGTATTATCACTAATCGGTGTCTGTATAGACGCTATGGGAATGCCATGTGTTATAGTGCCGTATATGGAGAACGGAGATGTATTGGCGTACATCCGAAATGATCAAAACAAACTCACGTTTAGGAAATTAATGCTATTAGCCATCGATATAGCTATGGGTGAGTATAAATTAGTGGTATTTATTACAACGAACATAATTTATTATCCTTTTTCCATTTATTGGATTAACTTATATATTAAAATGGTGATCTTGCTAAATATCTAATAACGTTTTAGGTATGGAATACCTTTCGAGTCAAAGGTATGTGCACCGGGATCTCGCCGCTCGTAATTGTCTACTTGATTCGCATTTTAACGCAATTATCGGTGACTTTGGTCTATCGCGCGATGTATATGAAGTCGATTATTACTCCAGTGATAGCTGGAAGTATAAACTACCGGTGCGATGGATGGCACCCGAGAGCATACTGAAAGGCATTTACAGTTCAGAAACGGATGTCTGGTCTTACGGAGTGTTCGTTTGGGAACTACTGACACGTGGTGTCACACCCTATCCAGAAGTGGACAATTGGGAAGTCTTGAAGTTCTTGCAAATCAATCGCCGTATGTCTCGACCCGTGTATTGTCCGCAAGAGTTGTATTATGTTTTACTCAACTGTTGGGCAGACGAGCCCTCAATGAGACCTTCGTTCACTCAAATTGTAAACCAAATTAGCAAGGTTATTCGCAAATTAGAGAAACCATTGACAGATTCAACAGTAAATATGAAAACATGTCACACTTATGCTAATTACCCTGTTGCTAATTTATATTATAAATCTAGTCAATTCAATAAAAAATAACACTCCATGACAGTATTCAAGGTGAAACCCTGTTCGATTATTAGTACAAAATTTGAATATATTTATTTTAATGTATTTTTCATTAAGTTTTTTAAAAATTAGATACTCTGGTTTTGGTAATTTGTTTAATTTGACCACTAATTCATATATTTTCTTTTTATTCACATTTATAAAATATCCTAACATTTGTAATTAATAACATTCACTCCTACCTATTTATGTACATATTAGTGACAAATATCAGGGTGACAAAAGATGATAGTGTTACTTTCATTCTAATTTAGTTGAACATCCTATTATTTTTAATTGATTCTTTTGATAAATTGTAAAGTGATAGTTGATATATAACTCAAAATTCAAAATGACGAGTACTTATTTAAGGAATTTTTATTAACAATTAAATTCTTGATTACAATTAAAAATTAGTAGATTTTAAAAAATAAAAGTATGTCTTAAAACGTTTAAAAAGTGTATAGTCTTTGATGTACAAACACTGATTATTCACTCCCTTAAACGTGGTGTAAAGACATTATGTCTTCGGGAGAATAATTAGAATAAAACTCTTCAAATATGCCTTGAATTAATTAATTTTATCATGGTTAGTTTTGGAATAAATGGAGCTCATAGATACTAATATTGTCGATGCTTTTTCTAAAACCAAATCTAATGTATTTTCAATGCAAAAACCTTTTCGAGAAATACAATTTCGATCTTAAAAAATGATACACCCTTTGAAAGATAATTAAATTCTCATTCATTGAGCTATGGAGCACATTTACCTAGCTAATATTTTATTGCTAGTAATTATTAATTGAAAATTTTCCATTGATATTTCCATAGAGATTCTTGATTTTCAAAAGATTACTGTTTCAAAAGTAGAAATCGTAGTAAGGTGGTTTATATCTTAAATGAAAGCTTATACTAGGCTGTATATCTATCCCATAGGCTTAGCATGGAGTTTTGTGAGATATTTAGCACTTTTGAGCTATTTTAACATTTTCAAGAAATTTTGAAAATTTTCAAACCATTGTTGTGGAACTGCATATCCACCCCAAAGTGAAATTTGGTCGTAATTTTTCGACCACATGTCCCTCAATGTCCATTTTTCGCTTAACGCAATGGGATTTTTTGTTCCGCAACCGACATTTTTTGACACACCCGTCATGCACCATCATTATACACCATTTTCCCATAGGTTTAACATGGGCCTAAAAACACAGCGTCATGACGTCATCGGAAACACTTTTGCCCACTTTGGCTGATATTTTCCATAGGAAAAACAAAGTCGTTAACGTCTAAACTGTCAAAACCCCCATGTTAAGTCTATGGAGTTGTGTTAAAGTGCGTCATTAGCGTCATTATCGACGGAGCGAGGGGTGGGAGTAAGGGGTGGGGGTAGTATAGAGTGATTTGATAACCCACTTTTTTACTGCGTAAATGTGGGTAAAAATTAATAAAAGTTTTAAAAATGAATTTATTTATTATTTAAAATGAATACATAAAGTATATGACCGCTTTAATCTTTAGTCGGGAAAACTTAAGTAACATTTAAACGGGTAATCCAATCCTTAATCAGTTTTCAGAAAAATGTAGCTGGATAATTTCTAAATCTATTTATATGCTATGTTTTATATAAATTAACCAGTACAACTGAGTAATTTAATTTCAAAATTAAACCACATTTTGCAATTGAAAAAACATTGGATATTTCATAAATTTTTCATAATTACTGTAATCTTGGTTTATATCCAAACCACAGTATCTTGATCATTTTTATTGATATGTTTGATATTCAAACAACAATTTTTTTCAAATAAAATGCGATTTTTATATCAATTTGAGTTTTAAGATTTTAACAAAAATAAAAGTGACCCTCTATAAAATAAAAAATATTTTGTTAAAATAAATTTTGGAACGTACCATTAGGATTAAATTATATTCAATTTATATTAAACATTTTAGCTAATTAAATAAAATTTAAACTTTACACCCAGGTACATTAGCTGGCCAGTCGCAAACTTGTATAAACGAATTAAACGCCGTTCCATTCCTGCAATCCTTCTCGTACGCTTGATAGCTGTTCAAGATGGTGGTTGGCGCACATTGGTAACACTTTTGGCAATTGTGTGGATTCTTGAAATATCCGACACCCGGACACGAAAATGGACTTTTGTCTGTAGTTGAATTCAGGGGACTTATGTCTGTAGTTGCATTCAGGTTCTGACCTTGCTCAATTGGTTCGTAAGAAATCTCACAATCACCGTCTATTGTGTCAACAGGCATAAATTCATCTTGACCTTCTGATTGTAATGGAGATTGGTTTAATAATTAATCGCCTGAAACTTTATTATTAGAATTTAAAGTTTCAAATGGAATGATTTGATCTTGATTATTACAATTAACTATTTGTAATGGGGGTGCAAACAACCTACCTTCTCCGAACACTAAGCTTATGGCATTTAGAAGTGGGTATTTCGGACCACATTTGCCATGAAAGTCATCCGTGTCCAGCGACCACACCATACCGCCCGCCAAACCCATAGATTTTATGAATTGTGCCTTTAGTTGAATACGTTGCGTGTCATCGAAGCCTATCCACTCTCGGTCCCGATAAACATATGGCGTTAAATGATAGGGGTCTCTAACTTCTGTCCACCCGGTGCTCGCTTTCATTCGGCATATCTATTTAAGTAATTGTATATAAAAATATAGTAATTGACTTTGTAAATCATTATGCGCATTCATAAACTACATATACACACTGAAGTTATGGACGGACAAGCAAAGCTGAATAACTATATGCAATAATTCTGTTTAGAACGTAAAATTCTGATAATAATTTTGTATAAATATATTTTTGAATTCCGACAAATTTAATATATTTATACTGTATATCACCTCGTTATATCCTAACATCCCAGGTGCTCTGGTGTATGGTCCAGGTTGACCCATTTCGGGAGCGGGAGCTGACAAACCATTAATTATTGGGTTGGCTAACGTAAACGATCGTCCGTACGCTGCCATTCCCATCACTATTTTATGTTTGGGCGCACCCTTTGAAATCCAGTAATTTATCGAAAAATTCTATATTTTATTAAATCATGAAAATTATAAATTATCAAGCTAAATCTCGATAAACGAACCGCGTTAAAATATTTATCATTTGTTATGCTTGGCCGATCATATAGTGGTGAGTTTAATCCTAATATTGACAATAATAAATTTATTTTACAAATATAATTTTGAGTATTGCACAATATAATTTGTAATTCTACTTGTCGCTTTGTCCCATCCGCCATGATAGTCGTAACACATTACATTTATAAAGTCTAAATATCTGTGAGTTTTAAATAACAAAATGAGTTTAAATTATATTTAACAAATTTAATTGTAACAACATAATGATACCGGGTATGTCGTAACCATTGTCTATAATCTCTTTACCGGCGGACACGGCAGATGTCAGCAAATATCCGCGCGGAGCGAACGCCACCTTTAGTTCCCTAAAGAGATGAACCAAATTGTATTTGTCTTGAGGTTTGCCGCCTCTGTTCGCCGGATATTCTTAACAAAGTAAATTTTAAAATTTTTTACTTAATTATTATATAAACCGAATGCGGTTGGATTGACCAGCATGAATTAGTTCACTTAATGTTCTAATTAATTTGAAATAATCAACATGATTTACCCCAATCAAAATCGAGTCCATCGAACCCGTATTTGCCTAAAAACTCAACCACACTGTCGACGAAAACTTTTCTCGATGTCTGTTTGGCCACCATTTCAGAGTATTTAACGGACCCCTCTTCCCAACCGCCGATCGCTATCATAGTCTTTAATCCGCTCTTTCTAACCTTTAGAGCGTTAAACTTAGAGTACGATCCCTTTCCGTAATTGTCGGTCAAATCGTTGTATGGATCGTGACTTTTGATTTTGTGGTCGTCGCCCAAAATGGCGAACGCGTAGATTATATGACTATTTGAAAAAATATGATAGTTATAGATATATAATATCATATGTTAAATATATTATAATTTTAGTGAGAATTAAAGGAATGTATAAGTTTTACTTGTGCTATGCCAAGCAAGTACTTTCTAAGAAGTATATACACTGTCCATTTAAATTATATTAAATTAATCGCTTGATTAAAGCTTAAATTATTGACCAGATTAAAATTGCATTTATATTTAATAAAACTTATATTGTTTATTTATTTTAATATTGCTTCAATGTCATAGTTTAAAAGTTTTTTGCCATAATGTTTAGAATTAACATTAATACTTATAACTCAATAAGAACATGGATGTTTTAGAAAATTGTTAAAAAAATAAGTCTCACCTGCATAAGAATGGGTCGATGTTATCGACATTATATTTGCCATCATTTGGACGATAGACTGACCAACATGCAAAATAGCATACTAGTTTTGGGTTGCTTATATTGTGTGCTAATTAAGTAGATATTTACATTAATTCAGCAAAATAATGAAATATAGAAAATAAATGTAGGATTTCAATGTAATTAAAATAACAATATAAATAATTAGATTTAATATTGAAAATACTTTTAATTTAATCAAATATTCAAAATCACAAATGTATTAAGCACTAAATAACTATGTATTTTAAATCATCGTATTATATAAAATTAATTAAATATGCAAACATGTTTTACCAGTATAATTTTCTGTATCATCTTGGAACAAATTAGCACATTGGGATAATGAAGCCAATATTAATGAAACAAATAAAAGTATTAATTTACTCATGGTCATTATGGATAATCCCACTCTAGCATTAACTAAATTGAAACACTTAACAAAATTGCCTATTAATATTAAAATTTTTTGTTTATGTACATACTTACTAATCGGGTATAATGTACTTATCAACAGGAAATGCGTTATATTTTAACAAGATAATTTCATATGTAATATCTGGTTTGAATATGAAATCATTTTGGTTTAATGAATCATGCACATAATCTTATAATTATATAATAACTTGTGATTCATTGTATGAAATATAATAAATAAAAATTTATAATAAATTCCTTACAAAATAATTTTATTTCAATTACAATCTAGATGAGTAAAGTTATTAACCATTTTAATAATGTATTGTATCAGAGTAATTAATGTAATTATACGAGAAGTTGTTGAGTGTTGTGTGATTCATATTATATGACACATTCACAATACAATATCAATAACAAATATAACTAATTGTTATTGCATTGAATAAATCTACTAGCTACTTATTGATGAATCATTTTTGATTAATCACAAAATATTCTGTGTAACCCAATTAATTAACTTTATATTAATCAATAAATAATTTTCATATGGAATTGCCCAAAACTCCCACGGCCTAAAAGGCCTACTTTTATAAAATTTAAAATAACTTATTAATTAAGTGTGATCATTTCCTTTAAGAGGTTTTAGAGAAAGAGTTAGATTTTAATTTGTAAATAGGAATAGAATTTGAAAATATGCATTTTAAGCAAAGGTCTATGGGAAAGCTAATGATAAAATACTTGTCTTTGAGCTCACCAAGAGTAGCTAGTAGCTTGTCATTTAACTTAAACTTCTATATTAATAGCTAATTATTCTATATTTTAGATAAGTAAACTATGATACTTAAATATAAACTTTAAAATATTCTGTATGTTAAAGGTATTTAAATATAATACATTTTATATGTAATATTTAAGTAGTGGTATATACCAAATAAATACTTGAAATATAAAAAGATATTAGCATGATTCATGTTTTATTTCCAGTATAATGTTTAAGTAGGGAACATCGAGTCACGAATCTCGATTGAGTGGTTCTAATGGTTATGAGTAGTTAGCCAGTAACACAATTAATATTTTGAATTGACTAAACTTGGCGAATCAAGTAAACTAGTTTGTTAAATTCACGTTTAACTATCGCTGACATCCTCATTTTGTCATTCAAATTTAGGTGTATATAATGTTATACTATTATTTTGTGTACATTTATCGGTAATTATTGCTAAAAT